GCAGGAATTGTCTGGCTAATTGTCTGTGTGCCCTGTGAAAGCTTTTCAGCTATATTCTTGTCCTTAATTAGGACAAAAGCTAAACTTATAAACTTCCATAAATGAAAAATATGAAACCATTTTCACTGAAATAACTTCAACACATTCCCTTCTTATTTCCACTTTTTAAAAAAAATAAAAGAGCTTTTTTTCCCCCAATTCTCATTAGCTTAAAATGTTTAAATGAAGTAGTGATTTAAGCTGAATACTAAAATTCTTTGAATGTATTTCTTGCCTGAGTTGGCACGATAAAAACTTTCCCTTAAAAATGTGCTGCACTAAATGAATTGACCTAATCCCATGAGAAGATTCAGCTTCAGCAACTCCCTATTTTAAGAGGGAAAAAAATTGCTTCACCACATAATTCAGATTGAGCCAATATCTCACCATCTTCCAGTTCCGAGACAAGCTGGGAACGAGTGTGGCTGCACTACAAAACTCCTGCCATGGCCTGGGGTACACACCTTGGTCTGGGGCTCGTGGCATCCCAGCTCAGTTTTTGTGGGAATCATCTCTGTGTCTCTGGCCCCCAGTTCCTCATCTGTAAAATACTCCAATAGATTTCCCTGGTCTCCCATCCATTAGTCCTGTCTGCTCACACTGGAAACTCCATTCCCAACCGTGGGGGGCTGCCAGGCTGGACCCAGCCAACATGTCCCACCATCAACAGTGGACCCGCACGATGGATTTCTCCTCCAGTGCTGGGAGTTGGCAAAGATAGGGCTGGGGAAAGCTGGAGGGACCAAGCCAAGACCACAATGAATTTTCTGATCCAGCTTCACCACCGAGCAATACAGAATTAAAGATTTCACATTGTGCTTAGGGCCAGGAAAAAAAGAAAGAAAAGACATCCAAAGACGCCCGTCCATCTGCGTCTCCCCTCCACACAGCTGCCCGCAAGAGCCCTCACACTGCTCAGCGCTGAGCAGAAGCACATCCATACCCCTTAAAAACCACAGCTGGGACGCTTATTGACCAAACACCATGCCTGCATGGGGCTGGAGATCCCACCCTGCCCCACATGGGACGGCAAGACTCACACCACGTCCCAGGCAGTGGGGAAAAGCCATTGCAACATGTTCACCACGTGGGACCAAGAGAACGGAGGCTCCCTGGGTGCTGCCCATGCCCCATCCCCTGTGGTCTCATGGGATCAGCCATCCAGAGACAACACAACTCAAGAATTGAAGAAAAATTAGGAAAAAAAAGAGGGGGGGGGAGATAAGAGTTTTCCCCTCCTTTGTATCCCTACAATCTTTAAATAGTTTGATTTTACCCCTCCCATCCCACTGCAGGTGGTACCCAATAAAAGATATCTTAAAGGAGCTGCTTCAAAGCACAGTTTTCCTTTGAAAAGGGACTGTGTTAACAGTGACACAGAAGCGTCATTCCTCCACGGAGCTGCTCTGTGTGCATGTTCGGAGACAGATTGCTCACTTGGTTGG